CTAATCTGATCGGGGTGCTGGAAACAGACAGGTCATCTCCATGTATGGAAGCGCTAGACATGCTAAGGGAGTGAGGGAGGTAGATTGGTTGGTATGGTGCTGACCAGATCTGCAGTGGCACAGCTTACTAGAGTAGTGCCCTAAGGCGACATTATATTAACTGCTTATCTTGGTGACAGGTGACTCCCTGACTACTTGCAGTACGAAAGTGTGATTTATATGAACGGCTGCTATGTGTACACTAATGGGAAAACATAAGCGTTTTATGCGAACGGAGAACTGCTCTTGTATAAATGGAAATGGAAATGGAAAGGGGCAACAGCTCTATAGACTGTACAGTATAGTTAAGTGAAATGTATTGCTTGTCTGTGTCTCTCCCCCTCCCCCTTCCTCTTCCTGTCATAGCAGGGTGTTGTCTCAGGGACGTTGCAAGCCCAGTTTAACCTAGCTGATTTGTCCCTCCTCCATCCCCCATTAGATTATTGGGATTGATACCCCTGGTGTATTGTGTTGGAGACCCCATGTAGGGGTCTGTGCCTGTAAAACCATGTGTGACAAAATAAGCAGCAGTACATTTTCAGTTGTACTACCAGAGCTGTGTCTCGTCCACTGGGGGAAAGGGATGCCTACTTGTTGTAAAGGTTCTAGAGTGACTGAAGGAAGCAATTAGATGAGGTAACCGGTTGGGTTACCCGGGGTCCACTACAGGTTAGTTTGACATGACCTATGTTTCATAAAACCATGCTGATTATTACTAATAACAAAGTGCTTCCCAATGAATTCCTGAATATTATCCCTTAATAACCATTCAATTATTAGAGAAGTTAAGCTCTTAAGGTCTATAATTTCCAGGTTGTTGGTCATTGGTTATAAGTTTGGTAGGTTTCGAGCTGGTTGTTGGCTCAGAACCTTTACATATTTATGATGCTACATAGTTACATATAGTTACATAGTTACATAGCTGAAAAGAGACTTGCGATCATCAAGTTCAGCCTTCCTCACAAATGTTTTTGCTGTTGATCTAAAAGAAGGTGAAAAACCCAATCTGAAGTGCTTCCAATTTTGCAACAAACTAGGGAAAAATTCCTTATTGACCCCAAAATAGCAGTCAGATATCTCCTTGGATCAAGCAGCTATTACCCCACTAATTAGAAATTATATCCCTGTATGTTGTGTTTTTGCAAATATTTATCCAATTGCTGTTTAAAGATCTGTATGGACTCTGATAAAACCACCTTTTCAGGCAGAGAATTCCATATCCTTATTGCTCTTACTGTAAAAAAACAACTTTTCTTTGCCTTAGACTAAATCTCCTTTCTTCCAGCCTAAATGTGTGACCTCGTGTCCTATGTATAGCCCTGTTTATGAATAGATTTCCAGATAAAGTATTGTACTGGCCCCGAATATATTGGTATAATGTTATCATATCCCCTCTCAGGCGCCGTTTAACTATTGTTTGTTATATTGTGTTTTATATATATATATATATATATATATATATATATATATATATAATTAGTGATGTCCCGAACGGTTCGCTGGTGAATAGTTCCTGGCGAACATAGCGTGTTCGCGTTCGCCACAGACGGCGAACATATGCGATGTTCGGTCCGCCCCCTATTAATTTACTAATACTAAGTAAAAATTACTTAGTATTAGTAAATTGTGCCCCTACTCGCAATTAAACAGCATGTCGAGTAGGGGCATGTCTATTAAACAGTGAGCAGCCTGTGGCTGCTCACTGTTTAAAAAAAAAGGGTCCCCCCCGGTGGGGGCCCTAAATACTAATGGGGGGGACCTATTGTCCTCCCCCCGGCCCCCACCCCTGAGCGGTGGGTGGGGGCCCTAAAAATACCAATAAGGGGGGGACCTATTGTCCCCCCCCGGCCCCCACCCCTGAGCGGTGGGTGGGGGCCCTAAAATGAAAAATAAGGGGGGGACCTATTGTCCCCCCGGCCCCCACCCCTGAGCGGCGGTAGAGGGCCATATTGATAATGAGGGGGGGACCTAATGCCCCCCCGGCCCCCACCCCTGCGCGGCGGGTGGGGGCCATATTGATAATGAGGGGGAGGACCTACTGCCCCCCCCGGCCCCCACCCCTGCGCGGCGGGTGGGGGCCATATTGATAATGAGGGGGGGACCTACTGCCCCCCCGGCCCACACCCCTACGCGGCGGGTGGGGGCCAAATTGATAATGAGGGGGGGGAACTACTGCCCCTCCCGGCCCACACCCCTGGGCGGCGGGTGGGGGCCATAAAGATAATGAGGGGGGGGACCTACTGTCCTCCCCCCCCGGCCCCCATCCCTGGGCGGTGGGTGGGGGCCACAAAGATAATGAGGGGGGGACCTACTGTCCTCCCCCCCGGCCCCCACCCCTGGGTGGCGGGTGGGGGCCACAAAGATAATGAGGGGGGACCTACTGTCCTCCCCCCCGGCCCCCATCCCTGGGCGGCGGGTGGGGGCCACAAAGATAATGAGGGGGAGGGACCTACTGTCCTCCCCCACACGGCCCCCACCCCTGGGCTGCGGGTGGGGGCCCTAAGCAAATCCCCCCCCAGGTGACTAGGGGTCCCCAAGCCCCTAGTCACCACCCCCCCAAATAAAAAGTCCCTACCTACCCCCCTCACCCTAAAAAATAGTGAGGGGGAATAAAATAACTAACCTGTAAAATAAAAGTAAACTTACCATTCGTCGTCTTCTTTTTTCTCAAATCTTCATTTTTCAGCCCCAAAAAAGGCAAAATAAAAAACCATCATAACCGTCGAATTGAAAATAAAAAAAAAATCCCGAGCGCAAAAAAAAAACCAGACGAAAAAGAAAAAACCTGAGTGCAAAAAAATAATCCATCTTCACCCATGGAGGGCTCCGGGGGGGGAGGACAGTAGGTCCCCCCTCATTATCTTTGTGGCCCCCACCCGCAGCCCAGGGGTGGGGGCCGGGGGGAGGACAGTAGGTCCCCCCCCTCATTATCTTTATGGCCCCCACCTGCTGCCCAGGGGTGGGGACGGGGGGGGAGGACAGTAGGTCCCCCCCTCATTATCTTTGTGGCCCCCACCCGCCGCCCAGGGGTGTGGGCCGGGGGGGGGAGGACAGTAGGTCATTAGTCTTTATGGCCCCCACCCGCCGCCCAGGGATGGGGGCCGGAGGGGGGGTGGAGGGCCGGAGGGGGGACCCCCCCTCATTATCAATATGGCCCCCACCTGCCGCGCAGGGGTGGGGCCCGGGGGGGCAGTAGGTCCCCCCTCATTATCAATATGGCCCCCACCCGCCGCGCAGGGGTGGGGGCGGGGGGGGGCAGTAGGTCCCCCCTCATTATCAATATGGCCCCCACCCGCCGGGCAGGGGTGGGGGCGGGGGGGACAATAGGTCCCCCCCTTATTTTTCATTTTAGGGCCCCCACCCACCGCCCACCCACCTTATTGTTATTAGGGCCCCCACCCATTATCTTTATGGCCCCCACCCGCCGCCCAGGGGTGGTGGCCGTGGGGGGGAGGAGAGTAGGTCTCCTCCCCCCCCCCTTCAACCAATAAGAGTCCCTGTGGGTTTTAAAATTCACCTGCCCATTGAAGTCTATGGCGGTTCGCCCGGTTCGCGGGTTCGCGAACATTTGCCAAAGTTTGCGTTCGCCATTCGCAAACCGAAAAATTCACGTTCGCGACATCACTATATATAATATTTACTGATATGGGTCATTTTATGACATATTGGGAAACGTTATGTTGTATGGCTAGATTGGGAGGAAATAACTTAGTAATGTTGGGTTTTAAAAAAAAGTATTCATTTTATTAATAAAAAGCTGTGAATATATTTTACCCATATACCATTAGTGTCAATGTTTTATTGGGTTAGGTATTGTTGGGGATATTTCCACCTGCCGAAATATATATATATATATATATATAGAGAGAGAGAGAGAGAGAGAGAGAGAGAGAGAGACGATGCGTCTGTCATGGATTCGACTTCTTGCTTTTATTATAGACACACCTCTTGGACATCCCTTATCTACTCTGCATTATTACTTGGTAACAAACTTTGGCTTTGGATTTAGAATTGAGTATTGGATTACCCTTGAAACTAATTACTTGTTAATGTCTCCTGGATATTCACCTCCACTTTGCTGCACAGAATACATAGTTACATAATTACATAGGCTATAAGGAGACATGTGTCCATCAAGTTCAGCCTGCCTCACATTTATTTTTTTGCTGTTGCTACAAAAGAAGGCAAAAACCATGTTTGAAGCTGTAACCGCTGGTGGTTCTTGTAATATTTGCATTTGCCCGTAACAAAGCACTTCCAATTTTGCAACAAACTAGGATAAAAATTCCCTCTTGACCCCAGAATGGTAGTCAGATTTATCCTTGGATCAAGCAGTTATTACCCTACATTGGAAAACTATAACATTCAATATTCTGTTTTTGCAAGTATGCATCTAGTTGCTGTTTAAACATCTGTACGGACTCCGATAAAACCACTTCTTCAGGCAAAGAATTCCTTATCCTTATTGTTCTTATGGTAAGAAAGACAAAATCTTTCTTCCAGTCTAAACGCATGACCTTGTGTCCTATGTAAAGTCCAGTTTGTGAATAGATTGCCACACAATGGTTTGTATTGGCCCCAGATATATTTGTATAATTTTATCATACCCCCTGAGGCGACGTTTTTCTAAACGAAAGAGGTTTGAATTTGTTAACCTTTATTCATAGCTGGTATGTTCCACGAAGAAAGGATAACAAATTAAACCTTTATAAAACCTGCTTGATCAATCAGTAACAAAGTTTGGTTTAGGACTTTTGTTTTTGTTTATTGGATTGCCCTTATATCTTACGGATTACCTGTTAACATCTCTTGGCTTATCACCTTCACTTTGCTGCACACATTAACCTTTCCCAAACCTGCTGGATCTTTTTGTTATTCTAACTGGCTATGAACACAGGACTTGTTTTACTATTTAACTCCTATGACATTGATTTAATGGTACTAATCACTGCCTTCTCCTACTGGATGTTCTACACTGATCAACCTTCACATCCCTGTTATAAACCACCAAATAAATTAGAATTTGAATACCTCATTAAAATTCAAGTAATTGTATTTTCTGAAGTGTTTTGTTAAAAGAAGATTTTTTATTTCTTTAAACCGAGTGAGACAATCTGTATAAAACATCCTGACAGTAGCTTTCTTTTATACAACTCATGGCTGTTGTCTACAAAGAGCTTGTGTTTTTGTATTTACATATTCTGCTGATTATACCTGACTGAACGTTCCCATTACATGTTTTGCTGTGGATTCATACCAAGAACAAGAAGACCTCTTTATATCCCAGGCAGGGATTGTTCCTCCCATGCACTGTAACCTAGAGCTGGTTAGAAGCTCTATTATATGTGAGTTCCATTCTACATTTATTCCAGTCAGTGAATAGTTAAATATACTCCACCATTGGACTCTGTTTTACATATTTACTTATCCGCAGCGCAACAACAACAACCCCACTGCTACCCTGTATCACAGTGCAAGTGTCCCTGAATGCAGGAGTCTCGAAAGCAGGGGTCTTGGAAAGTAAGGATCTTTGAATGTCGATACAATATTTCATGTTAGCAGATCTCAGACCAGTTTCATAAAAGCTGCATTAATAGCTAGGATGAGCCCTGTGAAGATGTGAGGGGTCTCCGGTAGCAGGACAGGTCTTCCTGGAGCTATGGACAAAAAGAAATAGTGCACTGTTAATACTAGTAAATATACACAATGACAGCAGATATAACAGCCTCTAATCTGCATAACCTCTCGTTTAATGCAAGTGAACGATAACTTGCGAATGCGCATCCTGTTGGATGCATTCAGTCCTAATTTTGTTTTTACATCGACGTTTGGTAATTATTCTTGATCATATACTTTGTATAGAATTCAGACATCGAATGCATCAAGCCGATTAGTGCAGATTCGATTCGCTTGGCTGAATTCTGACCACAATTAGCTTTAGTAAATATGAGAATTGCCATTCTAGTCGGAATTAATGAAATCCATTGTTTAGTGAGTTACCTTGTCAGACTCTGAGATCAACCAGTGGTACATATTGTATATTTTTTTAAAGTTTGGACATTTAAACTATTTGTAGCATTTTTGGCTTTTGTCTTAAGCCGCCAAATATGGCCAAACTGTGTAATTATTTTAGCAGGAAGTAATGAGAGGAAAAAAGAGCAATTAATTATGATAAATCAGATAAATTATCCCCTCTGAAATTTAACTAACGTGTATTTTGTATGATCTCCATGTGGGCCCTGGATTCTCCCCAAGTTCTCGCCTAAATGGACTGAATTCAAAGTAAAAAAAGCCACATTGGAAAAGCTAACAATACTTTCACTACGGTTACTTCGGCCTTCAATTTGAAATTCACTTTGAATACTCATTTTAGCAAATAACCGAATTGTATCAAGAATTTGCCAGGGTGTGTTCCCGGCTCTCAGAATCCTGATACATTCACAAGATTGGTGGAACTTTATGGCCCCTTTGTAATAACATCCTTTTTATAAAGGGAATCTGGGCAATCTGTGCTGGTCTTATTATATTAATGACAGCTGCTTACATGGGTGTCTGAAGGGGGGCATCCTACAGATCAGGTACGTGAGGGATAGGGGAAAACATACAGTTCAGGTAAGTGAGGCATGGGGGGGGCAGCCTACAGATCAGATAAGTTAAGGAGAAGGGTCAGCAAGGAGCAGGAAGTTAAAATATGAGCAGAAAGGAGAAGGAACAGAAATGAGCAGGAAGGGACATCAAGGAGCAGAAAGGGTCAGCAGTGAGCTGGAAGGGACAGAAAGAGCAGAAAGGAACATAAATGAGCAGGAAGGGGCAGGGAGCATCTGCAAGGAGCAGGAAGGGCCAGAAATGAGTAGGAAGGGGCAGCAAGGAGCAGGAACGATCTACAAGGATCAGGGAGAGTAAGGAAGGGGCAGGAAGGGACAGAAGGAGCACAAAGGTAAAGTAGGCGAAGAAGCAGAAAGGAGCTCGAAGGGGCACAAAGGTAAAGTAGGAGAAGGAGCAGAAATGAACAGAAATGAGCAGGAAGGGTCAGCAAGAAGCAGGAAGGGGCAGCAGGAAGGACAGAATGAGCACAAAGGCAAAGAAATAGAACGAATCAGAAGGAACATGAAGGTAAAGTAGGAGAAGGAGCAGAAAGGGGTAGAAAGGAGCTGAAAGGGGCAGAAGGAGAGCAAAGGTAAAGTAGGAAAAGGAGCAAAAAGGAACGGAAAGAAGCCAGAAGGGTCTGTAATGAGCAGAAAAGGACAAAGGGAGCACAAAGGTAAAGGACAAGAAAGAATCAGAAGGAGCAGAAATGAGCAGTAAGGGTCAGCAAGGAGCAGGAAGGGTAAGCAAGAGCAGAAAGAGCAAGCAAGGAGCTGGAAAGGGCAGCATGCAGTAGAAAGGGGCAGAAGGAGTGCAAAAGGTAAAGTAGGAGAAGAGCAGAAAGGAATAGAAATGAGCAGGAAGGGGCAGCAAAGAGCAGGAAGGGTCTGCAAGGAGCCGGAAGTGTCTGCAAGGAGCCAGAAAGAGCAAGCAAGGAGCTGGAAAGGGCAGCATGAAGTAAAAAGGGGCAGAAAGGAGCTGGAAGGGGCAGAAGGAGCGCAAAGGTAAAGTAGGAGAAGGAGGGGGCAGCAAAGAGCAGGAAGGGTATGCAAGGAGCCAGGAGGGTCAGGAAAGGTCTGAAAGGAGCACAAAGGGGCAGGAAGGGACAGAAGGAGCACAAGTGTATGGGAGCAGAAAGAATCAGAAGGAGCACAAAGGTAAAGTAGAATATGGAGCAGAAAGAGCAGCAAGGAGTAGAAAGGAGCTGGAAGGGGCAGAAGGAGCGCAAAGGTAAAGTAGGAAAAGGAGCAGAAATGAATAGAAATGAGCAGGAAGGGTCAGTAAGGAGCAGAAATGGACAGAAGGAGCAGGAAGGTAGAGGAGCACAAAGAATTAGGAGCACAAAGGTAAAGTAGGAGAAGGAGCAGAAAGGAGAAGGAACAGAAATGAGCAGAAAGGGGCAGCAAGAGCTGGAAGGGGCAGCAAGAGCACAAAGGTAAAGTAGGAGAAGGAGCAGAAAGGGTCTGCAAGGAGCAGAAAGGGATCTGAAAGAGAAAGGAGCATAAGGGTGCAAAAGAAGCAGAAAGTAGCAGAAATCTAAAGGAGCAGAAGAAGCCAAGGAGGAGAGAAGACTGTGTCAAATGAAGAAGAAGAAAAGGAGATTGGAGCAAGATGAACAAGTAAAGTGATCCCTCCACTTCATTCTGGACATCACATCATAAGGCTTTGGTACCTGGGTCTGGCAGGGAAACTTTGGACCTTCTCATCACCCCAGGTAAAAAAAATATCAGTGTTAATGTGTTCACTTTTATTTACTGAGTGTCAGGAAGCACAGAGTGCCGTTGGGTAGGGGTGTTGCTGATTGGCTAGAGCGGTCAGCTGGCACTCTAAGCCGATCAGTAGCTCCCATTCATAAAAAAGCTAAACATTTTTATGAACCGGGAACTAGCTATTGGCTTAGAGTGTCAGCTGACTCTTGCCAATCTGTGGCACCTATGCCTGACGTCAATCTGCACTTCCTGTCAATCTGCACTTCCTGGCCAAATATCTCTGAGTGACCTGGAGATCTGGAGCTGGAGGAAGTCTTTGGTGTTAAACCATGTGAGAGCAGTTTCACCCCTTAAAGGAAAGAGAGCACCCAGGGCCCTCCTGGCATCATAGCATTTTTATTTAGATGACGTTGTTATGGTGACCAGAATGTTCATTTAATTTGCTTAAAGGAACACTATAGAGTCAGGAATACAAACATGTATTCCTGACACCATAGTTGTGAAAACGCTATTCACCCTGGCTTTATGTCATAATGCCTATGCTCCTCCCCTTCTTGACACTGTCAAAAAGGTACCAAGCATGGATGTCATTACAATTATGTCCCCCCGTCCCCCCTGTCCCCACGCCAGCCGCAAAATTCCTGCTTATCTGTTTTTATAATAAAGCACCGTCTAATAGTTTGTAGAAATGACAAACTTTCTTTAACTGTTATTAACAGTCTACGATTTTATTGAATCCATTAATGCCAGACAGTAAGCCATTATCTAACTTGGTTCCAGTTTATAAGTGTCAGACAGTACTCCAGTACCAATGGACACTATAAAGGGTTACCTGGGTACAAGAAAATGCAACTTTTCATTTTTTTAAAGGGGCAATCTAAGCACCAATCTATTAACTTTAGCTTAATGAAGCAGTGTCGGTGTGTAGAACATGCCCCTGCGGTCTCAATAATCAATTCTTTGCCATTTAGGAGTTAAATCACTTTGTTTTTGCAGCACCAATCAAACCTTAGCTGAGACTCAAAATTCTTTCTTGAAAAAGAGTCTAAATGTGTTTCGCTGTTACACAGAGTGTTTGATTATAATGTTCCATCTCCTGCTCTTTTAATTGCCTGTTACAGCCTGAATCAGCCTCCTGTGTGTGAATAAAATGTAAGTAACAGAGCAGATGGTAAGACGTCTAAAACAAACAAACTGTGCGATATGATTTGATTGAAAATAAAACCATTTCATGAAGGCAGTGTGGGTCATAGCCAGGGGAGGTGTGGCTAGGGCTGCATAAACTGAAACAAAGTGATTTAACTCCTAAATGGCAGAGGATTGAGCAGTGAGACTGCAGGGGCATGTTCTATACACCAAAACCACTTCATTCAGCTAAAGTTGTTTTAGTGCTTAGAGTGTACTAATAAGCACCCATGCTGTGTGTGGCGAAACCAGCCTCGCCACGTGTCCTTGGAGGGGGCTGCTTGCCCGCCTCTTGCCTTTGGACTATGGACCAGACTTTATGTGAATGTGTTAACCCAGATAGCTATGCCATGGAGCCCATTCGTGTAGTTAAAGACTTCTGCTCCATGGCAATTGAACTGTGTGAATAGGATCTGAGCGCTATTTGGTAGTTTTGTGCGCTCAGATCCCAGCTATCTGGGGATATGTGACATGTCTGTGTTTTATGTGTAAAAGGTGACTTTATGTATTTCAAAGTGTTTTGTGTCTTTTTGCAACCATGTGCTTAATGGAGTCTTGTGTCTGTCCTGGGAGATAATTGAATTACTCTCCAGGATAGAAGACTCTGAAACTGGTTTGGGCCAGAAAGCCATGCTTCATTTAGTCACAAAGGACTTTCCCTTAACTTTTGAACCCCTGGTCTGATTCGTGCCATTTTTTAATATGTTGTTCCCCTGAATGGATTGATTATGAAAATGTATGTTTTATGTTTGTGACATGTATATTTTAGAAGTTATAAATATTGTGTAAAAACTGTATTCCTCTGCCGGTGATAATGAGATTACCCATTGTGTTCAGTAATCATATCACCTGCAGAGGGGAGGATTTTGTGTGGGAGTGTCTGGGTGTATTGTATGGATTGATTGGTTGTTTTGTAACGCCCTGTGGGCTGTACTATGTTTGTGGATTGGGAATAAAAGAGACTGTATGTGACAGTACAGGGAGTTCCTGCTTAACCCTCAAAGTGAAGTGTCGTCTCATTATTGGGGGAAGGATTTATTGTATGCTGTTCCAGTTTGACTGCCAGGAGAGTAAACCTATTCGTATGGTTCCTATTCAACTGTCTACAGCATTCATATGCTTGAGAGGATTCATATGCTTCTCCGGTTCGGTGGTTGTGGTGTCTGCTGCAGTGCTTGGAGTCCTCAGGAAGTGCTAGGAGCATCCTTCAACGGAGGTACCCAG